TGTGCAAGAATCAGCTTGCATTTTCTTCTCATATCTCGACTTTCGATAATGTTGAATCTCAAAATCGTATCTTGATCGACTTACGGTAGGTACTTTCGATTGTTTCTTATGCGAGATCTCAGATTGCCAATCAAAACAAATACACTGTAACAGATCAAAGTTGCAAAAATATTAGAGCAATTTCTTCATTTAATAATCGCTTTCAAATTTTGTACGCGAAAGAGAGAGGAACATTTTTGATTTGTTAAAAATGTTTCGAGTTTTTTATTCACGGTTATGAAAGCATGCCCGTATCGGTAGATGGTGATCGGATTTTATGGCATTGATAATGCACCCACGAAAGGCATAGTAATTAGGATAAACATTTCTTTATGACGTTTCGTCAAAACATTGCGATATGTCTCTAAATCGCGATTAACCTCGTCAATAGATGGCGATTGAGAGACAGAACCGATCTGTCGGAAACTGGAACTAATTATAAGTAAAACTAGGCCTCCTTTCAGGAAGAGAACTTACCGTCGAAAATAAATATGAACGTATGCATATAACGCGAACTCGCCGCTTCTAATATTGCATATTACTCAACGCCGTTATTTAACATCGTTTCCCGAACGCTGGCATCGCATTCCGTGGAATCGATCGAAATTCTATCCGGATTAGTTGCGCTAATCGCTATTCAGTGCGCTTCGTTTATTTCACTATTCGACGAATAGGATATATTTGTAATTATGCAAATGCAAATCACCTAAATCTAATGAAAATCATAACGGATGACCTCGCTAAAATGTATTTACGAGATGTAAAATCGAGAAATCGACGTAATACGTTAAAAAATATAAATGCAAAGGTACTATTTGCGTTTAAAAAAATTTGGGAAAAAGGTTTATTAGATAATGACAATGCAAATTATTGCACTTGAAAGTTCATACTTAGTTATGTTATGACTTTTCGTTCCGGAATTAATGAGGATTTAATGAAGATAAATTGAGTGCGTTGCAATGTTTGAGGAACTTCACGATGCAGTAAATTACAATTTAAAGTGATGACCGTCCATATTTTTGTGCTATCGTGAAATAAATGTCACTTGTACATTTAGACCGACGAAACAAAAAGTAGATTTATCTCGCGTGAAATTTATCTCATTAAATCTCGTCGGGACATGAAACACGCAAATTATTGATAATAAAACTTTTTAATTATTACAAAAATCACGTTAATTATTTTTATTTCAATGCACGACATTCAGAAATAATGCTGATGCATTATACAGGCACTTTTATAGACAGCTTCATACATAATATTATTTAGCGGCGGCATGAGCGCATGAAATATCGTACCCATTTTATCGCGAGGTGTACGCTGCGTTGGAGGAGAGAAATGAGGCTCAAAATATTTAGCAATCAGTGCCGAAGAGGACGGGCGGCCTCAGCAGAAAGTTAGATTGCAGCATATCAGCCTTGGACTCATTGTACTTAGGGAGCCGAAGAAGTTTGTCCTAGTCATTCGCATGACTTGTCGCGAATCTCAAAGGAATTTTAATGCGCGATATCCGCGCCGCGAAAACATTAACCTTCGGTCTATCGCCAAGTCGACTTTTTGCCGAAGACAATCTGAGGTAACGGTGCGAGGACACTTATTGTATATCAGTCTCGTTGTATATGCGCGACGAGACTTGTCAAACTCGTTCTCGGGAAAGCTTAAGTTCTTAGAGAGCTCCGAAGGATCAGAAGCAGAAATTAAGGAGCGAATAGAAATGGCTGGCGAACACGCGCGTCTCCATCTAATTACGAATGCAACCTTCGACGGGTGAAAGCAGCATGCGTGGCCGCGTCTGTCTACAACGTGCGCCCGCACGCATTTATGCGTCAGACTAATAAAACGCTCCAGACAGGATCGCCGAGCGTTTTATTTATAAACCCGCGCAAAAAACTGCAGCGCGCCACAGATTTTCATTGCGATCAATTGCTATACGAAGGGATATCCCCTTGATCGCTCGGCGATACTGCATATGCCGAACACGTGTGTGAACGCTCCGGGGCTTCTGATTTCTGGCGCGGCATGCGAGCGCGCGTTCGCTCGTACGTATATAGGATTCGTTCCTCGTCGGCGCATCAGCGCGTATAATTAACCGCGTTATGATTTAATGGCCCCTTCTTGAAGGAGTGCTTGATATTTTGTTACGTAAGCCGTGGCATTTTGGCTCGTGCTCTTATATATATATCACATTTAACGCCAGTTCCTTGCGTTAACGTGTGATCTATATATGTTGTAGATAGATAAATTAAATCGTAGTGTAGTAATACGATTTCGTATTACTACAGTGCGATATATTATAGGCGAACTCTGTTTCTGTCGACATGACGAGATAATCCAGACAGTCACTTTCAACCTTATGTCTATGTCTATATTCTTGACGGTCGTCTTAATGCGCAATCTGTGTAACGACGCTAAAAACAAGTGTATGAAGAAAAATCTATTTGTTGCACCTGATTTGCTCCAGAAATCGCTGAGCTACTTTCGACGACGCCGAAGCGAGTGGTTCGTTTATCCGCGCAGTACAGTGAATGTCGAGGAGCGAATTGCGTGTTAACAGCTGATTTGCCACGTGGTTTCTCTACGTTGCCTTATTATGTAAATTCAATAGGAGTGCCTGCTTTTTTCGAGTGATTCTCCTTGAATGATTAACGACCATCGTTGACGCTGGACCACAAGTTCAATGCAATATAGATTTATACTCTGTAGCAATCAGATCGGTATTTTGTAATCGCAGAATAAGTTTTTTTCTCGCGATCGAGGTGACGAATAACAGACATTGCAACGCATGTTAAACAGCTTATGTTAATATTAAATATAATCAGTATTAATATTGTGTACTCGAATATAAAACAACATTCTATTGTTGCATAAATTATTGTATTAAATACGTCTAATTGTGTAATCCTTTAGAGGTATTTTTATGCCATTATTATTCTTCTATTTATTTTAGATTGATTTTAGATTTATTTTAGCTTTATTTCAGAACTTAATTGAATTTCTTTAAATATTTATTGAAAAGTATAATTAATATTTTTCGGCAGATTTAACGAGTATCAATTGTTTAAACTGTCTTAAGGTCGTGACATAGCCGTTTTTGTATTATATAAGTGTTAAAGAAATATTTAGGTCACGGTATTGATGCTGCTCACCTGATTACAGTTAATTAACGACGGCCCGGCGCGTCCTTGATGAAAACCTTCAGACATAAGGATGCATGTTCAGAAAAAGCACATAAATTATTACTAGATTATGAAGGTGCTGGACTTACTTAATTATTATTTAACATCTTTTAATATGTTTTCTTTGACTTTAAAATAGTAAATGGATATTGCAAAACTGTATGAATAATATGAGTAATGAATATTGTGATGTAGATTTAACACACTTACCGATGTAGATGAAAAAATATGTTGAAACTTATATTTCTTAATATTTTCAAAATCATATATTTCTAGTAAAATATTTTATAAATTAAATTTTATTAATTAAATTAACGTTGACGTGTTTTGTACATTATATATGTTTCAACATCATGTTTGCGATTGTATGTATCGCTTGCAATCTCTCGTCATAGTCCGCTGAATATAATGTGAAAACTATAGATCTATATCGGATTAATAGTGGAACAGGTAAGATAGGATGTATACACTCGCCTTCTTTTTATTTCACATTCGCTGTCTCTTTATTTCTGATTTTTACGTTAGGAATTACGATTGCACGTTGTTATTGGACTTACGTACTTGCTGTGTCACTTAAAACCAGGATGTATCTTATTATTCGCACCGAGGATTTCGTCGGTAGCTTTTATTCATCGATAGCGTGTACAATGGCACGGTCACACACGTTGTGATCATCGTTAATAATAAACTTTATTCGACATTGACAGCATATATTCGTCGAATTTATAATCGATGCAAATTAAGATGTTTAAGAAACGATTATCTTTCCTCAGCTTTAAAGGTCACCAGTTGAGATTAGTCAGCCTTACAAATATTGCAGTGAGAGATCTGTCTTTCGAAACACACCCCTTATTACCGTATGGATCTAATCAGTCTTCGGCTACAACAAAGTGCCGGGTGACGAGACTGACTCAGCCTTGGTAAAGAGCTCGCTATATTCGCGAGTTCATTATGAGCAGCCTATTACTCATAGATCTAATCGATTGTCTCGCAGGTGCGGGGAATGGATTCCGCACACAACGGGCGCACAAAGAGCGCTCGCGACTATGCCATTTAGAGTTACCTATATATACCCGTCGGTTTTCACCACATCTATCACCCGTATCATGTGCACGCACTTTCACACTCTACCGCGGCCACCGCCGTGCCGCGGCACGCGATATACTTACCGCGCCACGGATATCACGCCAGCACCCGGAATAAAAGCGGTACTCGGTATAGGTCCACGTTGTATCATAACACACGTGCGCTGGTGACCGTCCTTATGCCAGTTACCCACATTTTCAACCAGGAACGAGGCTTGCGCGGTACTACCGGAGCGTTACAAGGCTCCGCGCGACCAGGATACCCGGCCGCGCGTGCACTTTCGAGTTATTGAAGCAAATCGCATTATTCGCGGATTATACTTACTTCAGTGACCTCAGCGTGCCTTCGTCTCTGTCACGACGTTATCATTATTTTAATTATTCCGTACCAAGCACACGCGATTCCTCCGCATCGATAACAGTTCGGAGTCATCAAGGCGTACGAGTCGCCGATTACATTGAAAACTCCCCGTCAAGGAAATAAATACGTTTGTTCTTACGCAATACGGCATCAAAGGTAAATCTGCATGGAAATTATGATTTAAGCTTTCAGATTCTATCAAAAAGTCTGAGAAGAATAAAGAACGATTCGTTTCAAGCCCCCCTGCTTAAGGGCACGAGTATTATCGCATCTGTGCGGCATCAATGGTCACACGTTATTCTGCTATTATGTAAATGTAAACGGTAATGTGCCGCCGCATAGGAAACGTAAAGTGGTTAGCGCCTATCGCGGCGAACACGCTACCTACTGTCCACCAGGAAATCGCAAATCAGGTTGCAGGTTGTATATCTTTTTCATTAATCACAAACGCGACGGGGGATAACGCGAGAATTGTCGCGATGCTTAAAAGTCTGCACGTTACGTGAGCGTGTGCATTGCGATTTTTGACATTGGTTTACCGAGATAACGAAATATTAATGAACACGGTAATCATACTTATGACATTTATATTTCCGAGTTACTTAAGGTGGAAATTAATGCCGTCGCGGAGACGGAAGGAAAAAAAGTCTAATAATATCTTGAGGGGAGCTTTTTTTATAGCATTGAAGTCCGTTCGCTTTAAAAGGAATTTATGTTATCGTATACATACGTTTTCTCGTCAATGCATCGCGCCGAGACAAAACTCAAGCATAAATCGAGATGTTGACTTTGAAATGTTGCTTGCGATATTTGTATCGATATATTAATTATACATTATTAATTAATTATCTTAATTATATGCTATCAATAACTTGCCATTTGCATTACAGTGAACTTTAACACGATGCGACGTGTCGGAATGATTTACAACTTTGATGAGGATCGATACGCGCGGACACGTGACATCGAGCTTCCCTCGAGAAACACGAGTCGTCAAAACCACTCGATTTTCTGTCAATATATCGTATATCGTACGGAACGTCAAATCGCGGCGTTTCTTGCGGCAATGGCAGTAGAATTTCGATCTAAGCGAAATTTTGAGACTTGCCCCATCGAGAGTACTTGTCGGTTCATGCCCGAACGCTTCGTATTCTGCATCGTCAGCGATCGCGGCTGGGCGAATCATGACCGAGCCGTGGAACTGCAGTTCCTCGTGACTTAGAGCTAATGCCTCAGAGATATTTTTGTTCTCCGGTTTCGTATTAAAGAAGGAATTTATCCCCCTACTTTATACTGACAGTTTAATAAACCTATAACGAGCGCGTGAACGAGATTGCATGAGACTAGCACAAAAATACTCTTCTTTCAGTAACCTGTCAACTTGTCAGTCATTTTTATGCATTCATGCATAATTGGCTCGATAAACAGTAATTTTACTTATACGAAGTGATCGCCTTTCCGAGGATTTAAACACTGTATACTTACGAAATCATCTTACGCTCGACGAAAACGTGACCATCGACAAGATCTTCGCGAACGAGGCTCCCTACGCTGCACAGGGTTCCTCCGTGTCGCAACAAGAACGACTAGCTCGAGAAGATGCATTCCGCCGGCTGATAGAGCATTGCCACGCGAGGACGTAGTCGCCGTTTCTGGCGTAAATGTCACGGGGAATTCTATGTAAGGTATATGATCCGTTAGCGCGCCATAAAATCGTGATATTCTCCTTCTGAGTTAATAATAGACGAAGGGGATTATTTCTAAGAGAAGCATTTGTAATCAACCATAATGTCGCGGGCGTCATGTTACTAATGGACATTCTAAATGAGCACGTAAAGTGTGATAATGAAAGCAAAGATAATAAGAGACAAAAAAATTATTACTTTTGGATAAATATAAAAATAAAAAATATCTCATAACATTTATTTGCGATGTTTAATCAGTTTAATTTTAGATTTGAATTAACTTACATATTTCGAAATACTGTAAATCGATGTAATTTATTGACGTAATAAAAGAAGATAAAATAATTTTTTTGTTGAAAATGGAAGGTATAAATTAATTTGTAGAAAGTCATGCAGTAAGAAAATGTCAAAAATATTACTTCAATTTGGTGAAGTATCAGGTGACACCAGTTGCTCTGCAACATGCAGTGACAACTAAGGGATAATAATATGACAGACTTGCTTAAAAAATGTGGTCTAAATCTACAAATTACTTTTACATAATAGCTGGAATATCGCGTGTTCCGAAGATAGCTATTTATAGATCCTTCAATTCTCATATTCTCGATAAACGCGCTAAATTGCCGTAAATGTTTCCATTCTATTGGGACATCCGATTTATTATGATTACACTTATTGTTCAATGCTTAAATCCTGACTCAAGAGCGATGCAGTTTTATGCAATTAACAATAAGTATCTATTAAATAAGATTTTAGCTTATATTATTCAGATTTTATTTTGCGGTCATATTTTACATGCGTATATAATATTGCATATGCAAAGTCTGCAAGAACATAATGCTCTTTATATATATGTATGTGTATATATATACAATGTACGAGTAAAAGTGTATATAACACTCCATCTAAGTGCAAACGCGGCATCGCATTTAACATACCTATGCAAATGTTAGGAGGAATCTCGCGGATATAAAAGAAAGATTTTTTCGTGCGTCTGATGAGGGTAATAACACTTTGCAGCGAAAAAAATAACAACCCTTAATAGCGCAATTTTGTAAAAATCTGGTTTTACCCGTTCGGCGAGACAAAGGGAATGGAAGGCAGGTAGAATGGAAAGAAGTCTTGGCTAAAGTCTTATAACGACGTACGTTCTGTGCATAAGAATCTGGGATTAAAAAATCTGTTCAGCTCCGACTTCTCATGAATAATTTCGTATCACCATAATTTTTTTTTTAACCAAGCAAGACGTTTATAAAATTTAAAGTACACAATTACTGCTCTTTTTTTTGCATATTCTCATACTCTCCATGCTGTTCTCAGTGAATCCCAATACTAAAAACCGCCAATAAAAATGTAATTACATTTTTATTAAATCGTGTTTTAAATAGAGACTATCATATATTTGTTTTTTTGAAATTAGTGAGATTATGTTGTAATCTCTTAATGCACTTTTAAAAATAAACGCTTGCTTTGCAGAAGTGTATACGCGACAACGAGATTAATTTACATTCGTGCGTCAGTCGAGTGAATAACCTCGATCGCGACGCATACGGAATTGGTTTTACGCGAAAAAGAAGGCTAAGCGCTTGTCAGAAGGCTAACTCGCTCAAAAGTCAGAGTGTCGTTCGTGTAATCGACCGCATCCGCGATTCAATGAACGCATTGCGCAATAAGTATCGATAACAGCAACGACGCGATATTACTATATAGCGTTACTCGTGTGAGTAATTTTCTATGCTTCCTCTGGAAATTATATCGCTTCCTAATCCCGAAAAAACGCTCCAACTAGTAATTATTTTTCGATTGAAATTAAAATATCACCACTCTCGTGTTTTAAACGCTGGCAGAATACGAGTTGAACCAGTTTACACATTCACATTACACTATCACGTAATATCCAAATTAGTCGTCTATCTAGCTTTCCTTATATTGTATTATCCACAGTGTAATTAAGTATGACATATGCGATTTTTATTACCGATTCAATGGTTACGCAAGATTATATCTATTAATACAAATTAACACGGTCATACGAGTGACAGGGGGAAACAACGTCAATGAAGATTTATAATTTCCTTATCATGTGTAATAGTTTTTCTAGAAGTGCAAATTATCGGAGACGCAATTCAATTCAAATCTTTCTCCGTTCCCAGAAATGTGTGATTATTCAGATCCAAATGAGCTGCCGATTATGAAATCAGCCGCGACGGCTAAATTGTTTTTGCGATATATTGCTGCCGCTCGCAGGAAAATACTTATCGATATCACGTGGCGGCGTGAGAAATGGTACGTTTGATTAAATTGAAGTTACACTGCAAACGTGGCAAAATTTTGTATTCGGAGAAATGTACTTTACTCGATAACGGGGCAAATTATCGACGAATTGTGGACTCGCAACGGACTGTACATTCGCGCAATATTGTATTACGCAAACTACCGTGTTGCATTAAATTCTGATCGTCTGGGAAGTGCAGGACAATCTGAAGATCATAGATCAGAATTTTCGAGCTTAGTTTTAACTTATAACACATGATACAGTTTACGAGCAAACAGAAGATACGATTACGCGAGAAATTGAAACTAATTGAGACGGAAAAGTGTAGTGCAACAAGTGCACAGTTGATTGGAACGGCAACGCTGGAAAGTCGAGTTATCTTCTAGTGTCTTGTAACAAGCGTACAGTCAGTGACCCATAACAATTAGCGTCACGGGGAGGGAGGCTTTGCCGTACGGAGGGGAAAGCCAATCAACGGAAATGGAATAAACTTGCGTGATCCGGTAGGGTAAGCCGTCCGTATTTTTTTTTATCTTTTCAGAATAAGAATTTATTCTTTTTTTTTAATTTCTAACATATTTGTATATTTCAATATTTTTTGAATATATGATATATTTTAATATTCTCTGAATATTCGAAAAATTTTTCACACTTGATCTTTATCGAGTACAAAAAATATACAAAATGACAACCCAAATCGTTGAATATAATGGAAAATCTGAGGAAAAAAATTGAATTTTTTTTATGCTAACGAGAAATGAATAAAAGTCACGTGCAATGATTCACGTGGATTGTTAATTACAATGCATTTTCGGGATTTTATGTCACGTTCCTATGCAAGCGATAGCGCCTAACAAACTGGGCGACAATATGGCATTCGAAATATGATACGAAACGTAAATGTGAAACAGCTGAACTACTCAAAAATATCCGAGTGAATGTAAGTCAACACGCTGATGAGGCGTCGCAGGCACTTTTTACGCACATATGTTGTATGCTGGATCATATAAATTTTATTTCAAACAGAATTAACTGCTTGATTTATTTTCTACATTACAAAATTATGCGCGTATCTTATAATGAGTAAACAATTTAGCTAAAAGCGTTACATTCTGATCAATAGTCTTACAAACATATTCCATAATTTAATCGTTTTTACACAAAGAAAAGTTGATATTCTTTTGGAAAAAGTATATATTTAAAAATATATAATATAATAAAAAAGAATATCTAAGAATAATTTCAAACAACGGTAGTTGAAATTTAAAGATTTAAAAATTGAAAATATTATTGGGCAAACCAATGTCTCGTCTGAGCCGGCCGAATTTGACTTTTTCTCCCTTATTAAATTTATAAAATATCTAAGAATATCTGTATAAGATCAAAGAGGAAAAGATTTTAAACATCTTTTGAACTTGTTCTTTTATTTAGAACAGAATATTCTACGCGTTATCTGATATTTTATGTCAATTATTGTACGAGCACGCAACTTTTACAAGATCACAAATTGAAGCTATAAATGAAACGAGAACTTTCTTGATTTATTTAGCAAAGAAAGAGAGAGAGAGAATTCTTTTCTGTATACTTCGTACTCCGTGTATCTCGATCTTAGTATTTTACTTGAAAATATTGTTTCTACTTCAAAACAACATAGAAAACTGGTTTCGCTAACGAGCGAAACGCACCACGGTGCACCTGCAATTTTCCTTAACCAGTGTCCATATTTTTTTCTACGGTAGCAGCGCAAAATTAAATTCAAATACCAAGTTTTAGAATCAATTTTGCTCGACGATGGTTACATTCGATCGCCTCGAAATTTTCTGCTGCAGCCACGGGGCTGGTTAGCCTGCTTAGTTACGTCTATACCTCAATTAGATCTAAAAGCGGTTGTTTGTATCATTCGACGGTCCGTGATCGCGTTTCCTGCGTCTAATGGGACGAACGCCATACGCCCCTTTCAATAGTTACAACCGCGAGGCTACTTAAATAATTCTTCTCCATTGACTTCTGCGCCGCAGTATATCGCCGCAACAAGCGAATCGCAACCGGCCATACGTTCAATTATTATCCTTCAACCGAGATTTTTTTTTTCTTCCACGTCACGGCAATTCACTGCGATCGTAATGGTAGAAATGCGCTAATAGGAAGTTGAGGCAGGTGGACCTATGAAGTTTCCTTCGTGCTTTCAGTTTGCCTCTTAAGTTTTATCGATTTCTTAAAAAGGTACCGCAACAGAAATCCTTACAATATATCTTTTATTCTTTGCGAAGGTTTATCTAACCTTCTCGTTGTATTATAGCTGAATTTATCTTTCCTGTTTTTAATGTAAATTCAACGTTTATTTTACATGGTTACTCTCTCATGGTCATCAATAATGCATTTGATACGCTGCTGATACGCAATTAGAGATACACGTACGGACACATGTATTGATATTTAGCATTGAAAAATATTTTCTGCTACGTAGATCTCTTGACAAATAGAAAATTATTCAACAGAAATTGCTGATAATATCAGTTTAATTCATTGTTCATCGATGCAAATTGCAATTTTTTGAATATCTTTTTACGGATCTTATATTGCGTTGCTAAACTTTTTATAAATCGTTTTATAATAATATTTTTGCCTTGTCAATTTTATTTACACCATTTTACGTTTTTTAATTTTTTATTTATTTTTATTTCAAGTAAATCAAATTTCAAAAAATCACACTGAAGATTTGTTCAGTTTTTCAAGAGATACATGTGTAAGATATTATCCATCTAGTGTCTTGCAGATGCTCATGCATAGATATTACACAATTTTATTTGTTATTCGATGCACCTGCAATCAGGCGTACAGAAACGTGCCGGTTTACGCTGGTTAAATTTCACGTTACTTTCTATTTTGCACTCGGCAAGCCTCGGTCACTGCGAAAGTGTCTGTGATTTTGAAATCTTATATGTATAGGCATTGAATAAACAATCGTCGTATCATATAAAAAATAATATTACGTCGTAGGCTTTTACGACTAATCGTTTGGAATTTACAGATTAATTTATTAGATAAAAAAATGATCTTGGATTGAAAGTAAGAACGCGACGTCAACGTCGCGTCGGCAGGAATGTTCGTAAAATCCTAATCACGCGAGTTGAAAAACCACTCTCGCATGCTCGAAAGCAACGGCGAAAGCGGAACTCATTCCTTCCGTTTTACTAATTTGGTGACTTAGCTTTTCTCAATGTCTGGCTATTATCTTTTTTTTTATTCAAGTGCACCAGTTAACGGTTTAAAATATTAGCACATATACGATTTCTAAACATCTGTATTCTTGTAAAGTAAGCCAGCATTCACACTGAAAAAAAAAGTGTAAAATCGAATATCGGTCACGGGCTGTCAAACAAGTATTTGTTAATTTAACAAAATACTTGTTAATTTACAAAAGTATCATGTTAATGTTATTGATGTTTAATTAAAAAACATATGTAATTGAACCAAAGAAAAACTGTCAACAAAACGCATTTAGTTATTTTAACAACTTTTTTTTCTCAGTGCAGCATATTTTATTTAAGACGTCTGTAATATATATATTGCATATATTGCCTTTAGTAAAATATGCTGATTAATTGTCAAAAAGAATTATCGCAGAATTATAATAAATCCATAGAATATGAAAATTCCGCTTCTGTGTATACGTTGTATCGAAATAATTATTCACAGATACATATTGCATTCGCGAATCAAGCGCTCTGAAATATTTGGTTATATAGGCGGAAAACGCGAACAGCTGCCATTGTCCGGATTGATCGGTCTTAAAAAACCAGCAATCTTTGACGCAATCATCGACTGGCAGAGCGATAGTAAAGCGAAACAATCGAGACGTTCTCCGTCTCGACGCTCTTGTCGTAATCTCATGAATATGTATGGGTATACTTTCGTTCGCGGCTGGCAACCGGGAATCTGGGTATATGGAGCGATCTATCTTTCGAGATAAATCGATAAACGACTTCCTATTACGCGTGAATTACCGGGTACCGATTCGTATATATACGTGTCGTCGGGCCGGCGACGACGGCACGGCGGCGAATGCCCCGTCGTTTAAAGCCTGCGACGAAAGTTCGTCTGTCGGGTGCGGAAACGGCGTGCAGACAGCGGCGACAATAAATTTCACATGCATATTCACCACATCGGTATCGGCGTCGCTCCAATAATGGCACAAAACATGTGCGCTAAATAACTCGCATGTGTGTGACTCACCTTCACCGTCGGTTTGACCCAGTGAGAGTTTAGTCATACAGAAAGCAGTCATGAAAAAAAATGGCGTGGCTTAGGCCGACGGCTGATATATCGAGCAGACCGTTAGACCTCGCGTAAACCGAGACTTATCTCCGGTTATTTTGAGTGAGAACGCAACGTATTTGTATAACTTTTACCTGTCAACTTTCAACGATTTATTAGCGCGCGATACTAATTCATCAAAATCAAGAGGTAATTTTACATAGAAAATATAATATGTCAAAAGATAATTTTAAATATAAAAAGAATATTCACGGAGCGTCTTTTAAAATTAACGGAGCAATCAATCTTCCGCGTATATCCGCGAAGTTATTCTTCTAGGCGCGAAAATAAAAATCGACCGAGCCGTTGCATAATTATAACTTGGCGCTAATCGCTTCGTGATATTCTCATAGGCCGTGCAAAGGCCACTAGGGCAAAGAAGACAGGAGCGTACAGGAATGTCAAAGTTTACCCCGGAGAGTTTGCCGCGGATTGAGTAGTCTGGCAAACTATATAAAACGAACGCGACGTCGGAAATGTGACGTGATCCGCTTCGGCGGGGCCGTGGGGATTAATTTAAATCGATTTGCCGAGAGAGTGGCCGCATTGTGCAAAACGATGCAGTCGGTTCAATTTCTGGGTAACAACGGGAGGGAAGACGAATTGGGGCGTGTACGCGTCGTTTGAGAGATAAAAATCGCGGCCGGTTCAATCGGGCTATCGCGCACTCGTTATGTCAGTTAAACGTCGATGCAACGCGCGTCCGATTGCACGTGCCCGCGTGTAACGCACGATAAACGTCATTTAACTTTCCGGTCTCCGTTAATTATTACCGATGGTCGATTTAATTATTATCCGCTCCCACGAAGCTTCATTAAACGTTAAATTAATTTCTATCACGATCATCTATTATATCTACTGCACCGCGTTTCACGGTCCGTTACGAATGCATTATTCACAGATATGTATCTATAAATGAAACCCGTTGTCAGAAAGGTTGAATAATTCTCATCGGGCGAGTAAATTATTCGTAAATATTATTCGTAGAGAGAGAGAGAGAGAGAGAGAGGGAAAAAAGCACTCTGAAATATCGCGCGTTTACCCTTTGCTGTGCCCGATGAGGGAATCCACTCAAATGTTAATACTTACTCGTAAATGACCGTTTGATAAATAGAAAGAATGGTCGAGTTGGCTCGGGTTGTGTTCCCAAACCTAATCCATCGAATCCCGTTCCCCTTTGTGGTGGGCAAGTAATTTCATCTCTCTTCGATCGGACGACAGAAAACTTAATTACTACCACGCTCGTCCGGCGTGCCCCTGCGGGGCAAAGCAAGAGTTCCGTCTCGAATTCTGTCCATCCTTGATGGAATTTCCAAAGCGAGTTACGCTCCTATTGAACCGGCATCATTCGCTTCTTCCATTTCGTTGAATATCGACGCGACGATCACGGTGGCGTATTTACGCATTTCCGTGTACATCTCGCCTTTTTAACGTCGCCGTATAAATGACTTCTGCCGCGCATCACGCGTCTGCCATAATTTTACAAGTTCCTTTCTTTTTCTGCGCCTGCATGCACGAGGAAGAAATGGCAGTTCAATTTCACTTTCACTCGGGACTTGCACCTTGGACCTTTGCCGATTCTGGTGACAGAGAATGCGGAATGCGTATACGTACCGCGTATACGCACCGACGCGTCTGATATGTCACATACGGGCGGATATGCTTAATTGAGTGAAAACATTAAGAGACGTGAATTAATCATTTCTCATGGGAGAGACGGACAGGAGAAAATCGGCCTTGCCGTTTCTAACGGTCTCTTACTCTTTTGTCTGGGTTAATCTAGCTGCTCTTATAATTGTAATATATTGCTTTGATGTCGTCTCTAAAAAAGACATAGTCGAGGAATTGCGGTAGTTCGAAGCGTTAATGGACTTCATGAATTATTAACGTGGCTTATTGAAGCTTTTCTGCGGACATTTGTGAGAAAATAAAAAATAAAGAAACAGCAAAATGATTCATGATTTTTTTTGCAAAAAACATTATAACATCTTTATTTATATAACAATAGAAAAGACTGATTCGTGCTGCAGTATTTTAAAAATTATTCTCTGAAAATGTAACTTTCTCTGCTCTGTTTCACGCAGACCCGAAGTTCCGGCAAATTGCATTCAAGAAGGCTGAGATTTGCCGGGTAAAAGTGCGATCTTGCAAAATTCCAAGTGCTTCGCAACGCAGTTGCTAATTATTACCGTCAGTCCGTTTTTACATTCCGCGAGAAGTAACTAGAAGTTACATTCATGAAACACTAGTAACTGCGCTTTCCATTCAAATTCAAATTGTAAAATATATGCATTACTTCTCGTTTAAATTCCACTTGTAGGGAAACCACGTCAACAGCCTTGCAGTTATGATAAACATCGTTCATTATTCGGGACACGTGCCGTCATATAGTTCTCTTGACCCCTCATTTTTCTGCTCGTTTCCAAAAGCATAATTCGAGTTAATGACCGTCAAAGCAGCTTAAATAATCATGACAATCGTCCGCGTCATTGTGATGCCCGCGCAAGGTGTCCGCCTCCGTATCTAAACGCTACGAAGCGAAACGGATGCGGGACGGCCAGTCGGTCGCCTACTCGGCTGTCTGGAGGAAGACGTACGCTCGCCGTCCTTCCTGATCGGCAGGCAGGAGTGAATTATCGAATCAAGATGCACGCGGAGAGAGGGGCGAGAGAGAGAGAAGGTTCAGAACACCGGTAGACCAAGGTGCTCGTCCAGTACGGAGCCAGGTGGGGATGAAGGCCGCTGGCTTTGCTCGTGCAAACACCTCGCTCGGCGCACACCTAGACCCACATAACGAGATACAGTATGCTATAACGACGACTTTCGTGCACCGGACAAATGTGCACGTACGATCGGCACTTAGTTATGACGACGACGTGTAGTTTCATCGCGCGGATCGACATAGACCTCTCAGTATCTCATTAACGTTCGCAAGATGCGAACGTTGTTTCATAGTGCAGAATTGATTGGGACAATAGGGGTGGTCTCTTTGGCGCGGTTAATTAATGATGGATGTTGTCACGAGGAAACGTTTTAATTTATACGCTTGTACAGGGTGAGCCTAGTAGGATTGATTCGGTCTGTAAATCTGGAGCAAGACTTGCTATCAAGACTGTTAGGTTTTAAACAGTTTAGAGGGATACCTAAATGAGCTGTATAGTTCATTCATCACAGTTCGTTTTGCTCATAACTTGATAAATTTCGTGTCGATTCGCGATCTGTCTTTCAGGTATCACTGACCCAGGTAGCCGCCCAGAGATGTGGTCACACACGCGGCTTATCCTCCTGGCATCGATGCTCGCGTTGCTGATCGGCGCCCGCGTCACCAGGTCGCAGCGTCCGCGAATCGGCGGCGCCGTGAACGTCTTCAGCCGTTACGGCTACCTGAGCATCAGTATGCGAGTGGTGCCGCGCAACGATACGGAGACCTGGATATTCCGCGAGCCCACCCTCGACGTCTTTAAAAATTCCACGCCGTTGCCGCCCAAGCAACGCCAAGCAGGCAAAAGCAGCACCGCCGTCTTCGACGGCGATTTCCACATGGAATTTTGCGACAATATCAGGCATGTGATTGCACGCGGTATCTCAATAAAAAAAAAAAAAGAAACAAAGTCAATAAAATTTATGTGGCGCTTACTTGGATATCTCTTAATTATAATCACCGAAACTGCTTTCAAACTTTTCGATGGCATCACGATGTAACTAAGTGCGAGTTTGATATAAAAAATTAATCATTGAATTTTTTACACGTTGTTAATTCCAAGTAGAAGCTTGAAGGAAAATGACAGTCTCGGCGATAAATCGCAATGACACGTTTTCTCTATACTCGTAATTTATATTTACAGACAGCTTCTACAGGCTTATTTCCGTGACTTCACTTTCGAGAAGCTCGAGAGGCCGTGGCGTGCCTTCACCGGCAGTTGGTCGAAGACGGCCATAGCCAGACACCTCGGCATAAACTCGTCCTTCATCACGGGCGACCACTGTTACGTCCTAGTGCGCGTCGCTCGATTCCGCGATAATCAACGGCTCGCCGGCACCGCCGAGACCCTCGTCCTCGATGATTCCGTGTTGCGGCAAACCGAGAACGTCACGGTCGGCGATACCGGGAGTGTAGTGCGATTCATCAGGAATTTCGGTTCGCACTACATCGCTTCCTATATCACGGGAAATTCGCTTTATCAAGTAAGCGTAGTAAGCAATTGAAATATCTAACTTTAAGATAACAAACAGTAGAAGCAAAATATTTTAATAAATGATGAAAGCTTGGGTAATTTTAAATAAAATAATAATCAAGTCGAGATATATACACTGCTAAATTTATAGTGTCAAATTTAATCTTATTTAAGTCGCCACTTATATTCCTATTTAATAAATAGTTATTTTTAAAACAATGGAGTTAAATAATTCAAAACAGTTCAATCAAATTTAATCCAAATTCGGGTTAAATTCTAAATTCGTTTTATTTAAAAATAACCGTATTGTTTTAATTAAAAATAACTATATATTAAGTAGAAGCAATGGCGACTTAAATAGGGTTAAATTTGACACTATAGATTTAACCAGTGTAGAATGCGCTAATCTTGCAATAATTTCTTAAATGATGAAATTTATTCTAACAAAAAGAGAAAACGGAATAGCGAATATTTTGCACGATTAGGTGAATATTTCATCTGAAACAAAAAAAAATTACACTGTATGTTATGCGCGCGCACTTACATAAAATTGCGATCAACCGGTTCAATGCTGCAACGGTGATAAAAATAGGCATGAAATTCGTTTCTTTTGCATCGGCGCATCCTCCTTAATTATGCGGTCCGTTGATCGCTGTCGTAATCAGCTCACCGTGAAAAGAATAAGCAGTCTCGATGCAGTCTCTCGGTTAGATAAAAGTGAAACAAAGCTCACTTATCATACATGCCCTCGCCTTACATAGACTCGCGTCTTTAGTTTCGTTTACGTACGTATAAACTGCATCGAAACGTCTTATTATTCCGAGCCTAGTTCTTACTAATAGTTTACATCACCGCGCCAATGTCAGTAAAAGTGAAATCACGTAACTTTCTGCTTGAAGTACACACGCGATGCCGCAATCTAGAGGTCCCAATCTCTGCTCCTCGTTAATTGGGCACGGCGATCTAAAGAAGCCATCTCCGTCGTCCCAAATACGGCAGATCGGACATCGTTTGACAAACGTGTGACGAAATATTCGAAATGTTTGTTTTTTGTCGTTTCAGGTATTCGTGTACACTCCTCAGGTATACTCGCGAATAAAGGAACGGCTGAAGACGCGGGGAGTCGGGGAGCTGTCGGCTCTCGAGCTGAGCAATTACTTTTCGCCGTGGTACGCGGAGCATATGGGCTCCATACAATCGGCGAGCGGCAATCGTAGCGTGGAGGCATGGGCCGTGCAACGTCTTCGGGTGCAATACTATATCTTCACTTACGCCAGTTTGCTAAAGTTGCACGGCGACACGGCGTTGCTCAAGCAACTCAACGGCCTGTTGGGCGACGAAGCGTTACTGCAATTACAATTGCGGACATTGGCGCCCGCTTTCAAGGATCCGAAAAGACGTCAGTGGTTTCTCGAAGTGATCGACAACTATTTCAAGCTCTGGGAGGTGAATATGTGATGGCGCAATAACGGACTGAAAGCATTTAGGATATTTGCTTGCGCTTGACGTCGAACGGCAATGTATATCAGTGTGAGAATGTAAGTGACACTGATCATTTCGGCGTGGTGCCGGGGGTCCACTGGTATGTCTCCGGGAATGATCGCGATCCACCGCCCGTCGTAAAGCCGTCGACGCTAACTATAAAGGTTCCTCGGACGGATATATCCCTCTGCCACATATATACAATAATGCATAAATGCTGTTATTGTTATAAATAAGTATTTATTATTGTAATCGTTAGAAAACAACTTTATACAAAATATTTTTAATATATCACAAGCATTATTCGTACGATCTGACTGAAGAACGTGGTGTCGCGATATACCGTAAGTTCTTTACTCGATATCGATCCACTGACGTACAAAGGAGATAGTGACATGTATTTTATACATAAAAAAAATAATTTGTGCGTTTTGTTCGCTTAACCCGATATGCATTGTACATGCAGATCGGGTCAATGGATCAATACTTCGCTTCAAATGCGAGTTTACATGTAGGTATTATATCTAGTAAGCCCTGTTGTTTCTTTTTTTTTTTGTAAAACCAGACAATATTTTCTCTGACACGTTTTTTCATGTATGTTGTTGTAAAGACAATGTTATTTGCAGATGAATTTATATTACGATTGCGGACCAATATTATTGGAATTTATATTATATTAAAAAATCAATCTATTAGCATTGCAAAACAGTTGACTGCTGGATACAAACAACTTTTTCTCGCTTTTTCTTCTTTTCCCTCCTTCTTTCAAAATAATCATGATACAAATATCTTTGACCACACACACATATACACATACGCGAGCGCTCACACACACAATCCCTGTCCTGTTTTAATATTTTGATTTACAGATGCTTGGAAAGAGTATATCGTGACAGAAGATACTGATACATTATGACAATCATATGACACTATGTAAATTGAATTTTTGAATACTAATTAATATCGAAAAATTATATAACTACAAAATTATTTTTACATTTTATATCTAATCATTTGTTTTTTAACAATTCAGTTATATCATGTGATAAAAGTATTAATCAAATAATAATATTATCTGATTTTGTAGAGTAAATAAATATCAAGTTGTCTGTATTTTCCGAGGACTGGCTGTTTTGCCACTGAAGTTTTTCGCATGTTTATACTGTAGTTAGTCTAGAGTGTTTAGACTAACTCTAAACGCAATGGATCCAATGAATGGTCCAAAAATCATTATAACAGATCAGATTCTCACGCTAAATAAAATAATGAGAGTCCACGGAACTTGCCAATTCACAGACGAATTATTATTATCCGCAGACGATTATTTATTTTCGTTTATTATTATAAAATTTTGTATACTTTTTAGCAACAAATCGTACCTTTTTTCACTTTTAACTTTTGGTTTTGAAGCTTCTTATTTTGAATCAAAACATAATAATACGAAATACTCGAAAGAATCAATAAGAATGTTCTGAGAATTAAAACTCAATATGTTTACAATTTAAAACATATAAATAAAATATTATATTTCCATTTCAATCACACGAATTTAAATAAAAGGTATAGGCGAAGTCTTATAACTCTATAAATTGGCAGATATGTAATTTGCTTCTTTTGCGAACCGTACACTTGCACACAATTATTATCGCAATGAAAGAAAAATATATATCAATATCTTTTCTCTTACAGATTTTATAAATGTGGCAGCTTAGAGATGTGCACGTATAAATAGCTTTTTCATACATTGTTATAAAATACGAAATTGATACAACGCAGCATATACTTTGCCTAATTCTTTTTGATTATTGCTAACATGTATTAGCACATAAAACGGTTCAAAATAGATTCGTTTTAAATTCGTTCGCTTACATTTATCGCACAAAGCCTTAAATGTAGTAATAAGTTTTGTTACTAACATAATATATAATATTATTAAAAAATGAGTATAAGAAAATTATTTATAACTGAGAACGTGATCCGATGCTTGGATCAACGTATTGCTCTCATCACAGATTTAATCTGACTTTTTAAAAGTATGCAAATTTACGCCGGCTTGTTGCTCTCGACCTAATTTTCTTCCATTAACTACAAGTACAACTGGGGTTTCAACGCGAATAGATTTGTAATCAAAATCCTAAAAAAGAACGAAGGAAAAATGTATTATTACAAGATCGGAAAAATTCGATTTAAATGGTAACACAACACTAACGTTATTCATGTAGGAAAATTTCTGATGTATAACAAAAGGTTCTGGTATACCAACAGAATCCCCGACCGTAACTCCTCGGCCTTTAGCTAGATTGTATACAGTGACAACAATACAAGTCTTCCGTTCGTCCACGAGACAAAAAGCACTGAATAAGAAAAAAAAAAAGAGTAATTATAGGTCAATGTCTAGTGGAAAATATAAGTTGTGCAATATAGAAAATAAATACTTACAATGGGACGCAATCCGAATCCTGAATCCAACAAACTACTTTTCCAAATACGACTTTCTCTGTGTTCAGTCCAAGAGTTAATTCCTGTAACGGAATTAAATCTAACTTTATAGATTTTGCCCCGCATATAAATGCTCCGTCTTTGTATGGTCCTAAGTGTTTAACATCCAATGCCTACATTTAATCATAAACCTATAAATATGTATATTGTGCCAAAATCACACATGTTATATTATCACATGTATTAATATATCTATCTGTTAAGATCTATTTATTATATTAGCAATTTCTATGATATAAATACCCGTATCAATTGATATAATCGTTTTGGCTTTACATATCCATTATTATTAATTGAATTCTGTATGTCTTTAAGATATTGTAGTAATTCATCTCGTTTGTTGCGCGGTGTTTCCCACAGTGGATCGAGCGCCATTGCATTTTCAAACGACTGTAACGCTAAGCTATATTCCTCTTGATATTTTAGAGCCTGAAATAAAGGCGGCAAAGGTTAAAAGGAGTTTCAAGCAGAAATATCGAAATAAATAAAAATTATAAAAGTCTTCATTAAAGTATTCATACTTACCACCGCTTTATTATAAAATAAATCAGGATTACTTCTTGCGATGATATCTTTTTCCTAAAAAAAAAAAAAATTTAAGGCTTTAATAACGTATATATAAAGATAAAATTTGTGTGGTACACGTGTAATAACATGTATACATAATAAACAAATATTTTTTATCCATTATTATCTTACCGCTTGCATATATGCCGACATGCATGAACGTAATGTACTCGGACTTTGTGCCACTGTGAAGAAGGAAGCCAGGTAAGCGTTCCCTAATATGGCCCAAGAGATTCCGTCTGTTGTGTCAAGGCTTACAGCCTCCTTAGCATACTCCACTCCCTGCTGAATATTTTTTATCCGCTCTTCGACGGACGATGTTTGCTCCTGTCTAAGTACCATCGACAGATTTCGCAAAGATGCTTTATTCCTGTCCTACAAAAAAAAAAGATGAAATGTATGCAATAAATATGCTATGCATATGTAATGCAATAATTTATAGTTTTATTATTGATTTGTAAACTAATGAAAGCCGTGGTTGAATACGGTAGGAAGAAAAATGTACATGTTGCAGAGCGCCGACAAAGCAATTTTTGGCTTGTTTTATGTCGTCATTTTTCCAATAACACTCCCCCAGCTCGTTCCAAGCTTCTATTAATTTAGGCTCCAATTTCACCGCTTTACTCAACAGCTCTTCCGCCTGAGGAATGAAACGGTCCACTACGTTCAGAGCTCTTCCCTTCAAATAGTAATACTTCGCACGGGAGCCGTCAATCTCGTATCCTTTACATTCATCAAACCTGCTCAACGTATCTTTCATTTCCTTCTCCACATCGGTACTCTTTTTAATCGCCTCATCGATAGAGTGCGTCTCAAAATAGCGATCTCGAAAGACATACAGAGCTTTCACTCTTTCCTGAAATTGGTTAGAGTCAGCAGGTTAAAGCAACAATGCATATACATATAACAATCGTGATTAAAGAGACGAAGAAAGAACAAGAAAAAAATAACGCACAGGAAAAATTTTAAATGTTTTACGTACCGTTAACGCTACGATCGGATCTTCCTTGACGGTATTTGAACTCTTCGCACCAGCGACAACCTTGTCGTCTATAATCGCGGACATTTTTTTCACGGGTTATATTACAATGCGCGACAAACAAACATTACTTTATCGTGCGTTACGCGCCCCTCGGGCGGAAAGACTTATTCATAATTCGTTCGCAATCAATACGAGCTCGCTCGTGGCGCGGGAGTATCATTTGCGAACTGTCAAAACAAAAGTGTATAGGTTATAGAATTTATGAATGGAGCGTGCAGTTCGGAGTAATACTACCCAAGGACGTTTTTAAAGGCCATTTCTACGTGGTGACGACGACGCTACTTGCGGCAAGTATACGAAGTAAAATCGACTGCTTGTACACAAATGGCGGTTTGAAACAAATATCGTGTCGCCGAGTAACTTATTAGATGTAAATGCAAAATATTGGGATCTCAGAAATGAGTTGTGCAGAATTTATTTAAAGCATTTAGAACTACTTTGCTTCCTCTATTATTAAAAAAAATTCAGATAGCTTAATTTTGTTGAATTTTGTTGAAGCTTAAAGAATCGAGGATAAACTAATGTTATCTAAACGAATGTATCAATTTGAATAAAATTTGCAAAATTACTTGCGTTATAAAATGCACCGTTGAAGAACAAACGATTTTATTGAGGTACGATTTCTTCATATAAAACTAAATACTAATATTCACAAAGCGTTTTTGTTGTAAGTGGCACGTTACAAACTATTTATAAGTTAGCTGTAGTTGTAAAACACTTATGATTTATGTTCACCTTTTTCTGGGAGAATACAGGAGAGAGGAACTTTATTTTTGAGATGAATACAAAATAATTTGACATAAATTAGTGACAGACATTACAATGCACAATGTGAGAGAATTACCAGTTAATGCAAATTTATTCTTTTCTTGTGCTGTTCATGTAATAGTTAATGCAAGTTTATTCCTTTCTTGTTTATGTTGATTAAATTTATGCATATAAAAATGGATTTTATATTAAATTATTACAATATAAAAGTGAGCATGTAAAAGTATTATTCATAAATTTTATGTCAATATTCTTATATCACGTATATCAAGCGTAAATATTTTAATAAGAGACTTCTTATACGATAATCAACCATATGATAATAAAATTTCTATCTCTGAAATAATTATATATTTTAGAATTTTTATGTATACTTTCTTCCAAAATTATTAAAACAATTTTTTTTATATTTTTATATAAAAATATACCTTTGCAGAAAAACGTTTTTATAGTATTATAAAATGGCATTATCTAAAATTTAGAGTTTTTCTTATTTAGTATATTATTTATTTAACGAAACATTGAATGACATAGAGAAAATTTTTAATACAAGAAACCGTTACTTTTATTTATTATTTAGAAATATTTTTTTAAATAATATTAGTCTCGTATTACTATTTTGATCGTTTCTCTATTAAAATATTGCATCTGGTAAATATATATTTGGCGTTTGCAATGTTTTGCAATTATTATCTTAACAAACGTAAGGTGGATTGATAAAGAGTGATGCACACATATAAAAGATGTGTGTGCTCTACGATTACATCTTGATACAAAATATACATATACATACATATATATATATATATATACATATATAAACGCGGTAATACAAAGTTACAAATATAATCTCGTAATATCACCTCTGTCATACATTTTTCCATCTTTTCGTTGTCACGTACGAAACAAGCATGAAATTTTCCACCACGCTTTTATCTTAATTCGGATAATATGGACAAAACAGGACGGATGTGTTGTCCGCTGCAAGGATTTATTTTCAAAATACTTTTGCACTCTCAGCTTTTCAACCCTTTATTTCATTATTCGGCAAGGATGTGTCGTCTGTTGTGACGAACGTGTCGCCGTCGTTTTGTGCACGTGGCGCAACACTTTTCTCGTACGATCGATGATACATCACACATGCGTCTGTAGTTTGCACACGATGCAGTCGCGCTATCCTTGCAATCTGAAAAAAGTAAAATTACTTATAAAGATGTGTACGCGATCATTTGATTGCGCAAATATGTTTTTATACATGTATGAATCTTTAGAGAGATTTACATATGAAATTTTTAACTAATTGATTTTGCACTTATAATTTTACGTTTTTTTTTTTATAATATAGGAAATACGCGGAAAATTTTTTTGAACTTATTTATTTAATTTTGTTTGTAGCACAGTCAGAATTTAATTCTTAAATATATTATATCCTAATTTTTAAATATATTATATATATTTATAAAATATAAATAGATAAATTCTGATTGCGTTACAAACATGGTTCAATAAATAAATGTGACAAAAACTTTTCTCTCGTGCATTATAAAGAATTACTTTAATATTAATAAGTGAAAAAAATCAATTGATCAGAATTTGATATGCAAATCTCTAGGGCTCATTTAGGCCGCATTGTATATGCTAATGATATACTTGTTCTTATGGGTTAGGGCATACACTATAATAAGTATTTATACGCGCGCGCGCATATTAGGCGGCGCATCGTATGCGCATGCAAATCGAGCGACGTCGCGTGTGATCTCATAAAGCAAGTCGTTACGAACCGCGGTTTCCTCGTATAAATTCTAGTTTCCCGACGCCTTTGGACAAGGGCATATTCCGCAAGTTTGGACAAGCCAAACCATCTGTAACGTAACTAGCATAACTTAGCATTACATGCGGCTACGCGTTCTAATTCTCTCCGTTATAACTCTGTTAGATTACCCTGAACTTTCATTCAACATCAATTACAATGGCGCGACAAATATGAGGGGAGAAGAAAAGAAGAGAGATTTTAACTTTCAGAATTATATGTAAATTTTAAATATCACGCGGAAGAGGAACCTGAATTATTAACATTGCACGACAATAGGAAAGTCTTTCGCGAAGACGCCTGCAAATAATGTTGAAAATGCCTTTTAAGGAAGAGAGAGATTATCTACCGTTTTTAAGAATATCCTTCGTCAAGATCTCAGAAACGTTTTACATACATTCTTCATATATACTGTAGCTACTTGAAAACAGCTTCTCGCACATAAAAATGACATTTTATGGAAAACGCGAGGAGGAGCTTTCGAGGATACATTTTAATTGTCCGGGCGAAATTACCATTTTTCTCGTTGGCGCATTGCCGACGGTAATAACAACGCTTTGTATGAAATGGTCTTCTGTCGTGATTGCAATCGTTTGACAGCAAGTCCGATGCGCGATCACGACACTGTACTTCTCGGTGTTTAACTCCAGACTTTACGAGGCAAGTCGCGTTGCAACTTCCCCAATTTCCTGGAATTACAATTAATAAACTGTTGCATAAGAATATTCCTAAATATAACGTATAACAAATTTGGCGGAAGTGAGCTTTTAACATAAATAGTCATATTTTTCTGTCTTACTTTTCTTAATTCTATTGGCTTTCGTTTATTATAATGTTTTTCAACGAACATTTTACGAAAAACACGAATATATTTTATATGTTATAAATAACATTCTTGAATAATAAAATTTGTAATTATATAATTGAGTAAACATTTTTTAAATAAAATAATATACTAATCGTTTTTTAAAAATTTCAATTGAATAGAAAAAAGAATTTCTAATTGCATAGGAAAAATATTGTTACTAAATCATACGAAGTATCGATTGATAGTTTACCGGTAATCCATTTCCCACTGAAGCAGTCCTCGACACTGGGCGGCTTGTTATTCGGATTACAATCGCCCGGCACGGAGCAGGTGACCTTTCTACTCCTCTTGCCATTCGAACAATGACTCCACTTCGATACTGTCCACTTTGACTTGGTGTTGTACATGGAATTGTCTGGGTTCTCGTCGACGACATTGTCGAACTCGAGGATCTCCGGCTCCTCGGTGGTGAGGCCGTCGACTATCGTAATACCGTCCTGCTCGTTCAGGCTGATATTGTAGAACGACATGTCCTTGTTGTCGGCGTACACGATCAACGGTACCTCCGAAGTGGGCCCGCACGGCGGTAGATCGGGGCACGGCTCCATTTCTTCGGGCCGCATGTCCTTGTCGCAGTCGCGATCGGGTAAGGCCAGGTCTGATCGATCGGTACCCGCGCCGGAGAACACACACATCACCGATCTCTTGCGTAGCGCGCCGTCGCCGCACGTAACAGGGCACATTTGCCATGGGCCTATCCACCATCTGAAACGTTCGAAAAAGTTGCGAATACTTTATGAATAAAGTTTTTGATATCCCTTCATTTTTTTTTCTCCTATATACCTTCGCACTCTCTAATGATTTCTAACGTGAACGCGAAGCCAATAGTTTCAGTCGCAGATTGAAGAAATGCATAAAAGATGGCAATCGAAAATCGAATAGAATTTTATCCAACCGCTTCGAATTTATTTTCGTCTACCACGAGGCAATGGTATTTCTCGGAAGTTTGCTGTTACAATCGCTTTATCGGATTCGAAGTTGGCTTACCTCGCGGGGCACGGATTCGAATTGCATTCGCGCGACTTTGGCTCCGGCTTTTCTATACCATCGCAGAAGTGGTCCTCGACGACGCCGCTTTTTCTCTCGTGGCAGACCGCGTGCGAAGTTTGAGTGCCGCCACCGCAGGTAACCGTGCAGAGGGTCCAATCGGAGGACACCCACGAATACTCCGGGGCCCGATCAGGCTCTTTTTTCGGCACGGTGTATTCATAACGTAGTCCGAAATTGCGATATTGGCCTCTGTAAATTAACTGAAACGATGAAGATAAATTATTGATAATGGCAATTAAAATAAAAATGTTGAAATTTCTCGCAAATTGAACGATGAATATACGAAATAACGAAAGCAATTACAAAAATTTGCAAAATAAACATGACATTGTTTTAATTTTTTTTTACTATTAAATAATTATTCCGTTTTGTGCATTTTATATCGCTAGAATGTACTTACGTAGACCGCGATGTCTTCTTTAATAGGTCCTGGGATTCTGACCTTCTCTCTGTCTCGATCGCGTTCGTACAGAGCTGGCGTACCAGCGACTTCATACTCGCCCGCTAAAGTGATCTGCCTGTCCGATCAGAATCTCAGTTTAGTTCAGTCACGTTAATGTTTCACAGAAATTTCTTTCATCAAAATGCTTTAAATTGCGGTAGATAAAATCTTGTGTTCCGTAAAAATATACATAAATGCAATCTGAGTGTGAGACTCTAATAGATTTTTTAATAGATTATAGCTGTATTAATTTTAGAATCACGTTTCGCAATTAGCGATATTCCACAATTTATAATTTTGCGAGACATACGCACCGTTTTCCATTCAGGAAATACTTGTCAGAATTCGGCACGCCGATGCCGATGTAATTCTTGCTATTACCGACCTCCTCGATTTTAATATTTCGAGAGCCGGAAGGTATGATAACGACTTCCTTGTATCCGGGGCCGTCGTTTTTGTCGTAAACGCCACTGGTAGTCTCGCACCGAGTACCGTCACCGTGACAAATACCGCAGCGGTCTTCCGTAGCGTCGGAATCCACCATCCAATCGCAACCGACTTTCTAAAAATTGAAGTTATTTAATCTTTAATGCTTTTTTTTTCGCATAAAAGTCGAAATTTCAAATTTGTAAAATTCTGTTGCAGGTACAACTGCAGTTTGGTGGAGAACACTGACCCTGCATATGCCAGCGATGCACATGTCCCTGGTACCAACGTTGCATGGAGTACCATCGAGAGCGGCCTCTCCCCAAGGTACGATTACGCTTTCATCTGTATCGGTGCAATAAAGCTCGCAAGGTTCCGCTAAATGGGACGATGCAAATCAAATCTCGCGTCGTAATTAGTGTTTAAACCGCTGAATCATTAATACCACGCAATTTTGGAAAACCACGGAATACGGAAATTATACATATATATATACATATATATATGTACGCGCGATCGCGGAAGCGAGGTGTCGTGTGTCACACGGCGCTTTTAAAAGTTCACTTACTTTGATCGAAATACGGTAGCCAGGTATAGTTCTTTCCCTTGTACTCTTTATCGTCGTAGTTGCTGCATTGCACGGCGCGGTAACTCGGCGTGCCTTCCGGGCAGGGTTGCGTGTTGCAGATTTTATAGCGGCGCCTCTCACCTATGCAAAACTTTCCGCCGTGTGCCGGCTCCGGATGGTCGCACTTCCTCTCGACAATCGAGACCCCGGCGCCGCAGGTTCTCGAGCACTCGCTCCACGATCCCCACTCGCCCCAACCGCCGTCGATTTGCCGCGGTCGGTCGACGATGGGCACGCATTCCTGATTTTGGCACCACTACGCAAAGAGAGCGACGTAATTAAGCCACTGGAGAATCCAATATCATTGCTTAACTCATCCTCTCAGATAAATCAATCGTGATCTAATTAACGATACATTTTGTGAAACGGGTTCGCTATTTTAAGAAAAGGTCTCATTTTATACCATGTGTTTGCCACAATGCGTTCCCGGCGCCGCCGGATGCAGCATAGTAGTGCAGGAGCCGTCCACGATGCACCACAGTTTCGAGCAGATCTGTAATCGTAAATGCCACGGTCATTTAAAACGAGTTGATCCTGGCTGGATTCAGACTCCGGCCATTTACCATCTTTATTATGGTCTTTGCTTACCTCCTGCAAAGGGGAGCAGACAAAAGCTTCTCTCACGCCAAACTGCAGCCTGCATTGGTGCTCGGCGTTATACATTGCGCCGGGTGGCAAATCCGGATACGCGTAATCGTTACCCGCCGGTTCGTCTTCCAAACAATCGCCTTTTCCCTGGCTGGAATTCGAGGATCCATATATATTTATACGTGCATTTTTTATTTATGTTACGTAGGAATTAAACATGTTGCAGAATCCTGTGTGAGTTAGTTGAATTTATTAAATTTGTTAATAAACGTTTTTTTCATTTACTCTAAAAAGTTTGTGATGTCTCTTCTGGAGCATCTCGACCATGCCACTCCAACAGCGTCCACTTCAAAAGTTGGCGTCATCACATGCAGGGTGTCGCCTTCGCGTTTACTGCAGCCGATTTTTTCCGTGTCGTGGTACATACCGAAGCTGAACAGAATACGCGATATAGAACGTTGAAAATTGACGAAGATTGAAAGCATATGTACTTTCACAAATGTTCGATATACACGCGCTTTAACTTTACACGTGAAAAATACTTGACTTGTTAATATTTCAATTTAATGTTTAATGCTTTGACGCAGAATCTTCTTCTTTTCGATTATCGATTACGCTTACTTATGCCCCAATTCGTGCGTGATTGTATGCGCCAACGTGATCCCATTGTCCTCGTTGACGCTGCAGCTGCGATCCGGTTGACACATGCCAGCGACGTGCGCCACTCCCAGCGTACTGCAAGGGGTATTCGCACGCGAACAAATGTCCTCCCTCGTCACCAGGATCGCCACGTCGTGGTGATTCGGGTGCGAGTCGTCGCTCGGATTTAGCTTCTGCTGCCATTTGCAGAAATTGTATAGGGTCTTATCCGCGTTCACCGCGATGTCCAGCCCTTGCTGGGACAGAAACGGGTTCATCTCGAGAGTGATCGTTCTATCTATCGGGGGGTTGCGCGCGTAACGTACACACCACCACGTTTATTATGAGTAATTGATCTAAAAGCGACTTCGGAACGTGACGTAAATACCTCTGCGTCTTCTTCTTCGACGAGAATAATTCTGACCACGACGATGTTGATGAAATTGCCGATGGTCGGATCGAGGTAGAGCGCGGACACCATGTTCATAATGGTCAGGAGATAGGTCTCCACGTCGCCGTCCTGGTGAAAAGCCATCATCGTCGTGTCAGCGACGACAAGAGCCTCGACGTGACGCGGCGTGCTGATCGATCTTTTGGAGCGATGCCACCGCTTCGCCTGATGCTGTTTCCTTCGCCCGCGGCCTTGAACTTGGACGAGGCCTGGTTGAGTTTGCCATTCGAGCCGCGTCTCTGTCAATCGACGCGGTTCTGTCGGATATTTCACGTGCTGTCATGATCAATGTAGCAGCTAATCTCTATTTCTTAGTGGCTGTGCGCCTTTACCGTTTAATTTAACGTGTGACCCTAATAACGTTAGACGCTATATGCTACCGAAATATACGAATACCTCGTGATTCTTGTCAATTGATCGAGCGATAAAGTAGCTACCAGATCGTGGAGCGCTTTAACGCCGCGGTTGATTTACGCAGATTGGCAGTTCGTAAGTCTGCAATTAAGATTTTATTTGGTTCGCCCGGATAGAGCTCGGCCGGTTTGCCGAAATGGATATTCATTGTAGTTAATTACGGGTTTGCGGCGAATTGGATTATTCCCTCGTGGGTTAGCGCGCTTTGCGCCTATGTAGAGAGACGTATCAACCGCGTACGATCTTACTTCTCTATACATCGACGCGCTCGCGTTTAATCCGAATGTCGAAATGTAGAACCACCTCAGAGAGGGTGGGACTACATAGAGATCGTAAAGCTGAAGTTGTGCCAAAGGCTACGCGAAGCGGTAATTTCGGTTGTATTTGTACGGCGGTCGAATTAGACCTCGGTAAATCGACTCGACTCGCGCGTTACCTATATCGCGTTCGAATCGCGCGGATGCCGATCGACGGAGCTTACGTGCAAACGTTTCGCCCGTGCGGGAAACCTTGCACGTCGTGAGTTGTGATTGCCATTATTGCAGCCGAAAGACATATTAGAAACGTTTGATTGGAATCGATTCTAACAAATCGTTATGAGTCTCAATATTCTCGCGCGAGACAGCTATGAACGCTTTGCACACCCTTTCTCTCGCCCACCCTGGCACCTTCCTCCCCACCCCGCACGGATATTGTCCGTCGGCGAAAAATAAAGGACAGACAAGGCGTCGATGACACGCCCACGTTCCATACCACGGCGCGTCCAATTACATTATACGCGGCAGACACATAAATACATGCGATACATATTACAAGAGAGGGCGAGAGCGCAGGAGGTGTGGGACGGCGGCGGCGGTGAGTGCGGGGGACGCGCCGCGCCACGCGGTTGTAGGGCGCGCGGGCGAAAGGCGAAAAGAGGAACAAGAAAAAGGTGTCGGGGTCTGTTCTCACCGCGGGTGCCGCAGTTTCTCTCCTGCTTCCTCTTCTTTTTGCGCCGTCGCTTGCTACGGCCGCCGGCGCCGATCTCGAGCTGCCGCTGCCGCTGCTCGGCCGAGCGCCGGAAGACGAGATGAGGTCGGCCGGCTGTCGGGCCCCCGTAGACCGACGCGCGGGCACCGGCGCCTAAGTCGCCGCTCGTCGCTTCGTCGGCCGACGACGTGCCGCGTTTTTCTTCCAGGGACACGGCGACTGGCTCCAGCCAGAACTCGCCGTGATCGCCGTGCAGCATACCTGCCTGAAACACAAAACCGGGTCTCGTGTTACCCAAACACGCAGAGAGGCCGGCCGGCGAGACGCCTCGTCGCGTCGTGACGTCTCTCGGCGGTGCCCGAATACGAATGGGCCGTTTAGCTCGAGAGTGGCGCGTACGTCATCTTGAAAGGCTTGTTAACCCTTGAGCGGCGGCGTAAGGGGCGAGAGCGTTGTCTCGGTATTTTTAAACTTCGCACGTGTTTTCTTGCGTTCGCCAATTAACTTCGGGTAATAGAGGGGTAGTATATTTAATATCAAGACTTCGTATAAACGATACTTGGAAGACTTCTCACCGATCGCAGTACTGCGTTCGTTTATCGCGGGCTCGACTGCTGAAACTGATGATTATGCAACATACACATATATCATGTATTTTAGAACATTTACATCATCCGAAATGTCAACAGATCATTACATTTAATTAAGCGTGGAAGTCACGTTTTAGAATGAAACGAATCGTGATCTTCAGCGTGGGAAGAACGGCGAGCGCGAGAAATGGTAAAGACTTGCGGGGGCGGTATATCTCTTCGCAATTTCGCGCGAACACCGCCGACGGCGACGATATGCGGAAATATTAATGCAATATATGAGATTATAACGAACTTATGAAAGCGAAGCGCGACCGGATTGGTGGTGGCGCGAATTCGGTACGAAATATCTCTCTCTTTCTCTTTCTCTCTCTCATCTGGGTATTAATATTATATAAGTATGTTCGCCTTAAGTACTTGGAAATTGAGTTTCTACCGAGTTAGTTTATATCAGCGTACGCTGCCGAGTATTATGCTTAGTTCCCGTGAAGTGTAAGCACTTCAACGTTCAACGTGGAAAGGACACCGCTCGATATCGCTTGGCGTCGCGGGAGCGGAGGGGATGTTAATGCAAAGCTTATTGGAACTTGCCGCTCATTATTTCAACCATCAATCGCTATCTGACGGGAAACGGCGAGACCTGTCAGTGACCACGGGTGATTAATGCCGGAGCGTAGCTCCACGGCCGTGATAATCTGCAGCATGATCAACATCGGTTCGCGTTATTCTATTTCTTGTTACGAAGGTGTTAGAGTTCGGACCTCCGACGGCGCGTCAGGCCGTCGTGGAACAAGTATCCTGAAGGTCCGTGCGCGATTGGACATAAAAAGAAGGTGGGAGGACGGTCTCTCCGGAGGTAGAGAGGAGGTAAAGGCTTAGAAGCCCGGGCGGGATGACGTTTGCATATCCCGATTAGCTCTCGGAGTGAAACAATATAAAGCTTTTACGTGGACCAGAGAAGAACATATATAAGTACACGCAGAAGAGCAAATCTAAATACATATTCAGCTGTT